CTGTAAACATCTTTTTGGTATATATTGATCCAAGTGGTCACCCACCCGCACACTGACCGCAGCCAGTGATGCTCGACTTCGGTGATCTGCTGGCTTAACGATCAGTCCACTGCGGGATACTTCAAATGAGTAAAAATGTAGTTTAACTGTACATTGGAGTTAAATTATGCTAGGATTTTGATTCGGTAATGGACGGTTTTGGAGTTCGGTTTTGTTTCGTCAAAAGGACCATGGCTTAGTTCATCTGGTGGCGCCATCTATCGCGAGATATGGGAAATGCTAGACTGTTTTGCTATCTCTGTGTGAACTAAAGGTCTGTATTCTAATAGTCCGGGGTCACCAACTGGGGAGATCAAGACGTTAAAATCTCTTCACGTGTTGAAGGAACGGAAGAAATATTGTGGTGACAAGGAGAGGATTTGAACACCCGTTCAGCCGTTCGTAAGATTGCCAGATAAGTCTTTTCAGCTATAGAACGTACTCAGTGGCAAGAAACTAAGCGAACTTCATAAAGTGGGCATAGTTGGCGGGGATAAAATTGTGTTATTTAACAGCATTAGGAGGAAACAGTTACTGTTTTTCTCAAAGTTAATTTCAATAGCATCCTTTTTGTGGTTATTTGACTGTTATGGTTGAAAATTGTGAAATAGTTATATCATTTTACGGTAAAATAGTAGCAAAAATAGTAGCAGTATAATAGTAAAATAGTAGCAGTATAGTAGCAAAATAAACATTAAATTTTAAGCAAGAATTTTAAATTTAGAAACTTAATTTATGATTAAATAAGATTTATTATGATTATTAAATAGTTCAATGTCTCAACAGTTTCAGAATTTCCAAGATTAATAAAAAAACATTAAGATATGTTTAGTTTATATTCGATTTTATTCACAACCCACAGCTTCACGATTATATACAATTTCATCATCAATCTAAACCTTTGCTACTAAGTAAAGCTGTACTTGTCATCGCGCACATTTGAGAACATTTTTGTAAAAGTAAAAATATAGCACATTTTGTAACGAGTTTCATACTGATAGAATATATGTTCTCAAATTTTAAGTAGCGTGTTTTTGCAAAACTGTTTTTCTTCTGCGCTGTTTAAACAACTCCGACCTTTCACTCAATTTATTGTTTTTTTAAAAAAAAACGAACAACAAGTTGTATTAATTGAATATAAAGTGTAATACAAAACCAAGGAGCGATTATCTGTAGAGGAAAACAAAGTGCCTAACACTAAGTCTGGCGAGAAAAAAAAAAGAAAAAAAAAGGACACATTTCTAAGTTGTATTGGGATCGTGGAAATCGTAATTAATGCAAAATTAATTTAGTTTCTAATGAAATTTTCGTTTTAGTTTAATTTTTGTTTAGATGCTAAACTTTCGTAAGATATGTTTAGTTACACTTAAACTTAATCTAAAATTTAATTCAAAACCTAGAAAGATTTAATTTTTTATTATGCGGTCAATCAATTTACATATGCAAACAAGAATTTGAGAAAAGCATTGATTATCTTATATTACTCTTATCTTAAACTCTTCAAGATAAGAGAGCAAGATAGCGCTCTTCATCGTTGCAATTTCAGTTTTCGATAACGATATCAAGGACCACATCTTTCGAGAGTAAAATCCAAGTCTGATAGTCGTGGCCTTCCGAGTCGACCAGACTTCTCTAAACGTAAATTACATTACGTACGAAAGGTAAAGTGATTAAACGGTGCTGTAAACTAAATCTGATGCGCAAAACGAACAGAGGGAATGATTAGAGAACTAGAGGATCTTTGGATTATTATTTAATAGATTATAACTTCAAAATGTTTATTAGAATTACGTGCACTTAGAGGTTAATTTTAAGCACACGAGTTTCATCAAAAGCAAATTTTAAGTAATTGTCTTATTACAAAAATTAATCTTACACTAACTGTTTGTGTGAACTGTAGACAAAAAAGATTTCTTTGCAAGTAAAATTACGAAATTGAACAAGGCTTTTGTCGTTAAGAATCATGTATTTTTCTGAAAGCGAAAGTTTGATCCATTTACTTTTATCGGACAAAATGTTTGATCAGGCCACCACGAATTCCTCTGACAATGTTTATTACTGAGATTTATTATCTCCAGGTCAGATAATTGACGTGTGTTTTCATGCACATATATTTGAGCAGAGGGTTAATCCAGGTTTTATTTTTTGTACGGTCACGTACCATAACGGTCACGTAGTTGAATGATAATCTTTCCGACCTTCAAGAGTCGTGAAGAGTTTTTAAACAGCTATTTAATAAGCTGTCACAACACACGAATTTCGAATTCAAGTTTTGAAGCTTTCAATGAAATTATAAAAATCACGTCGCTTTCAGATTGGTTTTTCCGTGAATCCGCTTAGGAACAATTTTGAGCAATCATTCTTATAGTGAAAATTTGTTTCCGAATTAGAATGTTGAAAATGGGTAGTTTTTACAAATTAGTATTAAATAGAAGCCGTAAATTTTAGCCTGAATCTAATTGTTTGGGATTTGTATATTTCTTATTCTTAATTTGTTAACCTTTTAGCAAAGTAGCTACAAGTATTATTGAATTTCAATGGCAGCGCAACACTGCATCATACATTCAGAGATGCCAACTGTTCTGGACACGCCTAAATAATTAAAACGCGGTAAATAAAAACAAAGTAAGTTTTACAAATCTTTGATTATTTTTGCTTGCTTTTTAAAAGGTATAGCATGACATGAATACCATAAAGTGGGGAATTACATAAGCCTACGAACTATTTAGAAATAGTGGTGGATAAAAATCTACTAAATTGAATTTATTAAACCAAGAATCACAATTGATAAATTACTACTTTAAAATAAATATTTGCTGTCCGGAGCAAGTTGGCGTCTCTGTACATATGGGTAGAATATTAATGGTATAATCCATAGATTAATGGAAAAACTCAACTGGTTCGTAATTGGTATGTTACAAAAATCGACATCTCTTACCAGCCATGTGCAAAGCAAATACTCTGGATTGAAGTTCAGATATTGGCATGAGAGGTCCAACTGGCTGACCCAAACCAATCAGAACTAATGTCTGATGCTTCAGTTTGGGTGGAAAAGCGAATTTGAAAAGTTCTACTTGATTGTCTTCAACCCATACTATATCCTTACTGAGGTATGGAAAGTAGATTTTGTATCCAGTTGCCAGTACCACTTCATCTACCGCAATCTCTTCGTTTTCTCCTTCAAAGATCACACCTTTAGCTGTAAATTCCTTGATGTCTCCTAAAAGTGATGCAGACAATTGAAAGTTTCAGCATATATTGCACGTATTTATAGATCTTAAAAATATGCATAATGTTTTGATATGATAATCTCCCAGTAGCAGCAAAAAGAAATTTGGTTCTTGAGAAATTTTTTTTAAAATAAATAACTCTGTACCCAGTAGCGCGATAGGCCACAGAAGGCCAAGGCCTACTGTGACCATCTCAGTTTTCTTGATCTTGGGCTCTGAGTGCAGGAGCAGATGTTCCGGTCAGGTGGTCGGCCGAACGCGGAACCCCCAGTGTTTAGTTCCCAAGCATGCTTGGTACTCATTTATAGACCCACTGAAGGTTTAAAATAAATACGTATTTAATATAAATTTGGAGCATTTTATGAAAAAGTACACACATAATTTCTGTATTTTCATTAAATTTAGAAATTTTTTGATGCAGAGATAAAATTTGAAAAATTATTTGTACCAAGTATATATAGAGAGAGCATCATTAAGCCTAGTCTTTCAAAACTAGTCAATTTCCCAAGCATCGCTTAATTTAATAGCTTGAACTTTTTTCTAAAAAAGTTCTCGTTCATTAACTGGAACTATTTAAATCTATTTTTTTTTTATCCAATTAGCAAATGCTTCTATGTATTCGAAAGAGTAATTAGCAATAAAATATTTGGTAAATTAGAGATAAAGGTTTGCACAGGTTTTTTGTTGGAATAAATTAAATTTCTGATGGACTAATTTTGCGTTTTCTAGTTTTAATCCTGACAATCGACGCAGGTAGATTAGTTTCGGTACTAAAAATTTCATCTTAAAATTGCTTTAGAAAAGCATTCAATAAATTAATAAAGTAATCAAACTCGTTTAATTTCGAATAAATTTAGTTGAACGAATTCAGAAATTAAACCAATCATAATTGAAACAAAAATGTATACCAAAAGAATTTAAAAAAGTATGCATGAAAATTTTTTTTTGTTGCTAATACTGTGTATGCCAAAGCTTAAATGCTATCCCATAGTATCTCACAATGAAATAAACTTTAGATTGGTTAAATAGAAAATTTGCTTCCTTTGTCACTATATTAAGGCTGTAGAAATATGCAAATGGTTCGAACTTTGAAACAACCTTTAACCATTTATTAACCATTACAATATTAATTAACGATTAAACAAATTACACCCAATGAGATTCAATAGGGCGCTCTAGGGGTGTAGTTTAAGGAATCTATCACACCGCTGGTAGGAGAGCTGTGGGCAGATAGTTCGATCCTGGTGACTGACAAAATAATTGGCGTGTACATGTGCAGCAAGGTAAATCTGTTGTGGCTGAAAGTTCTCTCGTTGGTTTTGTAAGAGCTTGGAGAAAAGGTTACTAGTTCATGCGCTGTCCATGCAGTCTTACTAGGATCAAAATTAAGTGGCATTTTTACCATAGCCTTTTAAGATAGAGCCTTAATGGAACTAAATGCTTTGCCATGATTGGGTGATTATAAGGGAGTTGATAGATTGCAGAAGGTTATAAAAAGTGTTGAGTTGAACTATCGATTTAAAACAATTCAGAAATTTAATTACAAGCTACTAATTTATTAGCCTATAATGTGTGAAATTCTTAAAATAATTATTTGCAAAATATTTTCCTTCAAGTTGAGACATTAAATATGCGCACATAGGCCCAATTTGTAACAAATTTAATACCCAAAAAAACGCATGTTCTCATGCAGCTCACCTTTAACCTCAACCGTACCACTGAGTATTCTGTTTGGAAGAGCATCGTTGACCATTGGATGTTGGCCGAATATGTGATGAGTTGGTTTCATCCTGTACAGCTCATGGTCGAATCTGTTGTTGATTTCTCTTTCAACAATGGCGCAGACTATGGGATATGGTAAATTATTGAAAAAGAAATTCAGGAACCTCTTTATCAGGTGGAGATCAAAAGGCTTGCCTTTGGGACCCACTCTATGAATAACCCAGGCACCTCTTCGGGTGCTAAGATAAACCTATGGAAAATCTCGATAATTAGTAATTTTTTAGTACTGTATAGAAAACAATTTAAGTAAACAAGATTAGATTTCAGAGTAAATTTTTATGAGCTTAGAAAAATGTAAAGAACCTCTGGTATTGGATTTATAAAAATCTCATAATTGTTGTTTTTAACTGGAAAGTTAGAATAATGTAGTGTTAAATCAAATTTTAATTACTTTAGTTTCAAGCCACATTGAAATTAGATTTTATTATGATTCAAAACAAAAATGGCTCAAATATACAAAGCAATTCAAAAGTAAATTTCAAAATAAGATAACTGAATGAAATAAATATTTTTAAAATAATCATTATAAATCCGAAGAAACCAATTTTATAATAGCTATTAAATATGCTTCTTGAATTTTTTAAAAAATTTCTAGGTGAATTAACTAGGTCATCACATTTAAAGTAGACATACTAAACCTTAAAATTAAACAATGTGCAATTTATGTAATCAAAAACCTTAATTTCCAATAATTACAAAACGAGAAATTAGAGAAAGAATGATTTCGCATATCAGGGGTACGTCCAGACATTTTGTGAAAGGTTCGGTTTTTGTAAAATTGTGAAAAAAATTACTCCTAATTTGTGAATATAAAATAAACGTCAAGTCATTCTTTCAATCAGGGTCCTGCTTTCATGAATTTGTGAAAATAGGATCCGGTTATTGCAAAAACTTTTTCAAGGAGTTTTTAAATTGTAAATAGATATAAGATTATACTCAGCACTGTAAAACTATAATACAAAAAAATTGAATATTTAAAAATAAACAGCAATTGCTGCTTCAAAATTAAGAGATGCAACATACAAATATTTGGTATTTAGCCTATAGTGCTGAGCGCAGAATATTAATTTCGGACGAATAATGGAAGAAGCGTCTGCCGAAGACAAAACTTAATTCGTTTACATCCACCTCTCTTGTTTTTGCCCCTGGTAAGGGTTTAATCGATTAACAAAACAAAGATAAACAAATTTGTGATAATTTTGTGAAGATAAACAAATTTGTGAAGGATCCGAATAAAAGAAAATTCATTTTCTGAAGGATTCGTTTTATGAAAAAATATTTTGTGAACGGTTCCTTAACGGACCCAAATTTCTTCTAAATAGACCCCTGCGTATTGAATTTATGTATTTTAATTTATACAAATTAAATGTTTTACAGCTGTAGTGATCGAATGTATGAACTCCTCAAAAGCTCAACAGGTGGTTCAAGGTTTTAAAAGGAAATTAGCATCAATATGGTTAAGTAGCGACCAAGTTAAATGTTAATATTTCAGTTGCAAAAAGAAAAAAAATTAAAAAGTAAAGTTCACTAGGGTTCCTCGAGGTCATACAACTTTTCGTTAGAAAAAAAAAAACCCAGGAGAGTTTTATTGGAATAACACGCGGGTAAGCTACTCACTACGCATCTGCTTGCATCTGACATCAGATATACCCAACATCAGCTTTAAATGTCTACAACTTTCATTCAGAATCAGAAATTTGTTTCAATTGATGCTTCATATCATGCTATTGCTTTTAAATTTTAGTTTTTTATTCCATGATTGATAATCGTGGAATTCAGAGGGAATTTATTAAAATCTCAATAATTTAGAGATATAAACTTTTGGACAGTTTTTCTGTTATCATAGTAAAAGTCAGTCCAAATAAATCCAGAAAACCCTTCTCCAAATATTTATAAAACACTTTCTGGATTTATTAAGAGTTTTAAATGATTCTTCGAATTTTAGGTATATCATTTCCAGTTGAAGGTTGTATTCTCACTACCAAAAATAGTTTTATTTGAAATCCGTAAGTGTTTACTTTTTACTTCACACATTATGCTTCCGAAATTACTTAAAAATTGCGGTCAGCCGTTAGTTAAACTATGAGTTTTAATTGTAGCTCATTAAATTAGTGGTACAGAATGTCACAAGACTGCTAAGTTTCGAATAGATTTTTATAGGATCAGTAATTTCGAAAATAAAACATTAAAAACTCATTTGCAGCAGCCATTTCGTTCTAAATGAATGCAATTTTGATGAATAATGTAATTTATTTTATTACAAAAACTATTAGGTTGTGAATATTTTTTTTCACGCCTAATTAATCGTTTCACAATTTCCCCCCGAACTTTGTAGCTTTAACAAAAGGAAAACAATTTTGTATCAGTTATCGCAATCTGCAAAGGTTGCAAAGTAAATGTGATAGGGAATGATACGGGTATGATAGTATACTAGTAACAGATTGATTTAAATAAAAGTCAAAAAACTGATAAAAACAAAGAGCTTTAAGACGAACTTTGTAACATCGCCCATTTAAAGATCACGTGATTACTTAACACTAATAAAGATTTATGGAACCAGTAAGAATTCAATGAATATTTTTGAAACTAAAAATCCAAATTTTGCATGCATATTTATTAAATAAAACACTTATTGTTCATAGAACAGGAAATGATAACCCGAACAACTTTCGACTTTATAATCCAATTTTAATGAACTAAAGGGAAATCTGTTTACAAATAAGCTAGTGCAAGGAATAATTCATAACAAGAGATCGGACAAGCAAACTTTCTCTGAACATAAGGATTTCCTCTGAAATTCTCTTTGGAATTTTTAGTGGTCAACTAGGAGGGTTTAACGGATCGTGACGTATGTGGCAGAAGTCTAATTCTTAGCTACAGATGGCGCCACTGGAAAACAAGTGCACCCCTCTGTCTTAAAATTGACTTGTTAGTATTGACAGGTGGCATAAGAAAACTACAAAAATATTATTTTTGTTTATTCCACATCCTAGAATGAATCGAGCGTTTCCATACTCGCACACATGGTAACCATTTCCATTTTTATCAGATTTACCGAAAAATTTGAAGTCCGCTATTCTCTAGTTTCACTTAAAATTAGATTTTATTAAAATTTTTTAATCACATCAGAAAAAAATCTGCATGAAGTTAAAAATGGACTAGTTGTATTATCTGGCTCTAAAGTTATTTGAAGTTACTGTTCTCTAGTGTATGAAGCTGTTTTGAGATTCATAAAACTAGAAAGAGTGCTTTATGTAAGTTTATTGTATATTTTTGAGATTAAGTTTGAACGTACTTTCCAAACATGCAAAAAAAATCTCTTCAAAAGTTCTGGAGTTTTTTGTTCTAATTAACAAATCATAACGAAAGAAAAAGCTCTAACAATTGAATATTTCGACCTTATCCGATTTTTGTAGATTGCGATCTTCATGGTCTGAGTTGTTAATCTTAAAATTAAACAGTAATTTTTTCTGTACTCCTCTCAGGGAGTTAGCCTAAGTAACCACTAATACTTATTCTCTTCGTCCGGTTTTCTATTTGTTTTTGTGTCTGGATTGTAACACTGTTCTTTGTGTTGCGTTATGAACACAATTTTTGGCGATTTATCTCTTCAGACTTCTGTTCCATTAACAAGGTTTTTCGAAGCTCCGTCGCCAAGGAAAATAAAAGTAACTAGGAAACTTCGCCCCCTACTCGCTGGCGCTCGCCAACCCCCCGAACTGCTTTCGCAGTTTATTTCGGATTGCTTCGCAATCCAATGCTCGCTCATTGGATACGTTCTTAACGTCTTGTTTTTGTATACTTTTTAGAATACCGAAGTTCCGAAAACTTTTCACTGTAGTAAATTCTAAACCTGTAAATTTCAATATTAATTTGAAATTGCAATTGTTAATTTGGGCATTTGGCGATACAACACTTATAGAATTGAAGGATTTGTTACGTCAAGCGCTCAGGTATCATAATTTTGATCTAGTTGCGCTTCTATGTCATTTTGATTTATGTTGCTAAGTTAACTTTCAAAAAATTCTATGGCTGGCAACAGCATTTTTATTTTTTAAGTTGTTTATTTTTATTTCTTTTAGAATTCGTTCTTTTTTTAGCGAAATGTTTTTTAACCTAACAGAATTATTTGCCGACTGTTTTCTCTATAAATGAAGAAAATAAAGTAAATATTTAAGTGTTGTGAAAAGAATCTTATTTAGTTGTACTAAGTACTTCAGAAAAGCTCTTTCGACAAAATACTAAAATAGAGATCTACTACTCACTTCTGCCTAGCTTAATAGTATGAGATTATCGCAGCTGAATTGAACAACCTGATAATGCTCACTCTGGTTATTGTTTCCGTTTTTAAAAGCACTATATGTTGAGCCACCTCAACCAGATTTGCCATGTGACATTTTTAGCAGCAATCATTGGTCAATTTTCTAACGTTGCCATTCGGGGAGTTGTAATGAGGCTTTTTTTTGGTGCCATGTAAGAGAAATATATATATATAGATTGTTTAAGTGCAAAACGATGCAAACGATGTAAAATAAAAGTAATTGTTTAAGTGCAAACTCTTGAAGCAAAACGAGGATTTTTAACTTTAAATCTTGCCACGAAGAATTCCCTGGGCTTTGGAAAGGACAAATAACTGAAATATTTTAAAAGTAAGTTTTTGTTTTTTGCTAATTTGGCGACATTTTCCCCACGCAGATGAAAATTTCAATATCCCTGCGTATTTTGAGAATGGGCAAATTTTTATAAGCCTAGCTAATGCAGCATTGGAGTAAGTTTTTCAACATTAAAAAATTAGTCCACGAAGGCTTTCAATTTCGACAAAATTTGTTTTTCCATTTTGACGTTTTGTGCTGTTTTTAGAATAAGCATACGCAGCGCTGGCTTTAGATAGGCTAAACTGTTGTAACAGTCATGAGTAACTGTATCAAACTCCTAGCAGTTATGAAAATAGCATATTATTCGCAAAAAAAAAAAGCAGAATTTCGTATGACAACGAAGTTTTTGAAAAACAGTATTAAATTACTTTCACTAAAATTATAGGAAAATTTTTTTGTTTAAATTCATGTAAATAAAATAATAAAACTACCGTAATAAAAAATTTTGTGTAGCCGAACACTTTTTGAATTTTAAAGTAATAAACATAAGTACCAAATATCCTTCTAAAGGCTGATTTATTGATTGATTGATTGA